GCGGGGCCCCCTGCCTGCAGCTCCCAGCCATGCCATGTGCCGTATCCCCACCGGCGCAGGGGGATGCCTCGGCTCTATCCTGCCTGGCAGGGATGCTGGGGCGCACGGAGCCGGCGGGGGGCACAGCCTGCCGTGCCTTCCCACCGGCGCACGTCCCACACGTGGGGTGACCGGGGTGGGGACCCCCGGGCTGGGTGACAGTCCTGGCCGTGCCAGCTCCCAGCTCCAGCGCGGCTCCGTGGCGCTGGGGCAGAAGCGATGGGTGAGAGTGGCAGCCCCCCTCCTGGGGGTGCAGTGCCCCCCACACTGGGGTCCTGACCCGGGGTGAGGCGAGGACACGGCCCTTCCTGGCCGAGCCCCCCTGCCAGGCCAGGGGGTGGTGGGGTGCCAGGGGTCCCTGGGGGGTCCTGGCCAGCCCTGGGTGCCTCAGGGGGCCGATGCCCAGCTGGGTGCTGGCAGGCGTGTGGGCTGCAGCCAGCTGCGGTCAGGTGCTTTTTAAAAAATGAAGGGGAAAAAAAAAAAAAAAGAAAAAACTTAAAAAAAAAAAAAAAAAAGAAAAAGCCAGCACTGTCTCCAAGAGCAATAACTCCCGCTTCCTCCCCAGGCGCACAGGGGGATGGGAGGTGCCAGGCCAGGGCACCCATCTCCCCGGCACCGAGCCTTTTGCAAAGCCCCCGCGGGGTCCCATTGAGGTGGGTGACGCTGTGGGGGTGCAGCGGGTCCCCACGCCGCCCCCGGGGCTCGCCCCGCTAGCTGGGGAGCAGCTCGGGGTTGCCGCAGGCTGGGCTTGCAGGGGCTTTATCGGTCCTGTTTGCAAAGCCTGGGCAAGGCCAGGTTTAAGCTTTTGCCTTCTCTGCACCCCGGTTGTAGCAGAGTCCCGGGGTGCCCATGGGGCTGGGCGAGGGGGGGGTGTTTGGACACTGCTTGGCGCTGCCATATGCCAGGCACCATCAGGGCTGCACGCTGCGCGTGGGAAATATTATGGTGGATCTGGGAATGTCCCCGTGTGATGGGAACGTGGGTCCTTCTGTGCAAGCAGGGGGTGTGCACGGGCATCCCGATGCTGAGCCCGCGGCTCTGGGGGCCCCAAGGGCTGCTCCGACCCTTTGGCATGGGCTGGCCCCGTCCTGGTGCGTGCCCGGTGTAGGGACTGCAGCCCCGGGGCTGTGGGTGCCGGGGAAAGGGGTGTCCCCAGCACTGGGGTGGCAGCGAGCACCCATCCCCAAAGCCATTGTGTTCCCTGTCCCGTTGAGCCGCTGGCCGGCCGCTGGGGTTTCCCAGGCTGGCAGCCGTGGCACCCGCTGGCACCCGGCCCGGTGCCCTCCCGGGGCAGCTCCCGCAGCATCCCCAGGGAGCGGGGCTGGCCGCTGCCTCGGCGCTGGCAGGAGCGGGATTAACTTTCCACAAAAACAGGATACGGCGGGTGAACCGGCGGGGCTGCTCCCTCTTCCCGGAAAGAGGAGCCGGGGCTGGGGCTGGGAACTTGCCGGCAGCTTGCTTTGCTGGCCCAGGGGCTCGCTGCTTTGGGGCTGACCGGGTTTTGGGATGGGGAGAGCCTCTGTGGCCTGGGTTCGTTAGCCTGCCTCTGGTTTGCAGCCAGCGGGTGCAGAGCACGGGGTCCTGGGTGCAGTGACACCTTGGGGACACTGTCTGGGTCCCCCAGAGCTGGTAGCCGGGCGGCAGGACCCGGCTTCGGGGAAGCGGCTTGGCAGAGCTGCCTGGCTCCGGCAGCAGGTAACGGGCCTGTGTGAAAAGAAAATAGCAGGGCAAGCAGGGAATTAAAGAGCTCCGCTAATTATTCCTGAGCGGCCGCAGGTCCCCGCAGAGCCAGCGGCTGCGCCGGTGCCAGTCGGTGCGCGGGCTGTGCACAGGCACAGGGTGCATGGTGCTGCGGGGCCGGTGCACGGGGCTCCCCCATTGCCGGTGGGGTCTAGGGAGCCCCCTTGCCCCATGCAGCTGGGTGTGGATCCGTCCCTGGGAGCCGGCTGGGCACGGGACGGTGCCTGGTTTGCAGGGGGGGGGGCTGCACCAGACCCCGACCCTCTCCTGCAGCCGCACTTCCCTGGCCCGATTGCAACGGGAGAGACCCCGGTGCCGGCTCTTCCCGGCCACCCCCACCCTCACCGCCGGGTCCCTGCCTTCCCCGGTGACACCCTTCCCTCCCATGGGGAGATTAAAGGCTGGCATGAAGGAAACCCCGCACATCTCGCCCAGCTCCTCCTCCCGGCACATTAACATCGTTAATATTTCAAGTGCTGCTGGCTGCCAGCACCGGCCGCGGTGGCGGTGAATTCCCCGGCAGCGTGGGAGCTGGGCCGGCTGCTCCTGGCTCCCCGGGGTCACAGGGCTGGGATGCGGATCCGGGATAACCTTGCTGGGGGTACAAGGGGGATGCTCGGCGTGGGCCAGATCCTGCCCCGTGCGTGCGGCAGAGGCGAGACCACGGGGCATCGTGGGCGATGGGTGCTGCTTGCATGGGGAGGGGGACGGTGGGTGCCGCGGTGCTGCACCCCCCACCCGCCCGGCTCCTCGCTGGGACGATGGGTGCGGGAGGGTGGATTTTGCCGCAGGGCTGCTCTCCCCACACACCAAACTGGTTTTTCTCCCCATGCCAGCGCTTTCCCTGCTGTCAGCACGGTGGGGAACTGGTTTCCTCCAACTGTGCAGGACGGAGCACCCACGCACCGCCAGCACGGCACGCCCCAGTGCAGCCGGCCTTGCCGAGGAGGCATGGGTGCAACGCCGGGCACCGTGGGTGCTCCCAAACTGGGCTGTGCCATGCGGGGGGGCTGCTCCTTGCCCGGCACACCGTCAGCATCTTTTTTTTTCCCCCCCCTTTTTCATACTTGAGCCCTTAAAAGCTGAGCATTGACCACCCTGCCGGGAGCGATCCCGGCGATGCCTCAAGCCGGGGCGGAGGGGAGCTGCTGGCCAGAGGGTCCCATGGGTGCTGGTTCAGCCCCAGGGTCCAGCGGGGTGCTCTGCATTTGCAGGCAGCTGCTGCCAGCCCTTCCCAGTGCCACAGGTGACCCTGAGCCACTGCCACTGGGATGCCTGCTCTGCTCTGGCTCCTGCCAGGCAGTAATGTCCCCAGTCCCGGGGGCTGGTGCTGGTGGCATAAAATACGTGGGTCACGCTGTCGCTCCGGGCATGGGTGGTCCCTGCAGCATGCGTGTGCCCCGCAGTGCCCACAATCCCCATCCTCCCTGTAGCTCTCGGGCAGACCCCAGCCCAGGCGATGCCAGCGGGGCTCTGGCACAGCCGGTCCCCTCCGTGCCACCAGCACCCACAGAGTGGCCACAGCTGGGACGGGGGCTCACGCTGGGGCTAGTTCACCCATAGGACACTGCCCTGGTGCAGGGGTGGGGTGGGCAGCGGGGTGCTGGTGGCCAAGCGGGGGGGGGGGCTGGCGGGGTCCCCTGTAAACCCGGGCCCGGGGCCCCCCCCCGGGGGCGGGGGGGGCCCCCC